GGAAGGTAAAACGGCGTTCCCTAGTCACGCTGGCCACGTGACAACAGAAACTGTCTTCGGACAGGCGCTGGCTCTACGGCTTGGAAACGGGGATGAGCACCACCCCCTAGAGTCGAACACGACTGACTAAATGTCAAAGGGAACCTTTACCTTTTACCTTACTGTGAAAATACTGAGAAAGTGGATGAAGCAAAACTGAATTTCGCAGTCCATGATAAGAACAAACCTGCCAAACTGTTGTTTGTCAAATGTAGTTTAGCTACACTGTTATTAGCCAAATGGCCACCAGTCACAAGTAACAACACTATTACATTGTTTGTAATTAATTACCAACAAAAGGATTGTTTGGATCTATATCAGTCATTTTTCAATGGGGGCCATATGGCCCCCTGGAGGGCCCTGCCACATTTCAAGGGGCAATAGGCTGGAAATAATTCTTCACCACCACTTTATGAGGTTCGTTATGTGACTTATACAATAACGATTTGGCCTGTATTTCCTTCATATTGTGTTTATGGTTGTGGTTAAAAAAGGCTGAGAATGGCTGATCTACACGATTCTGCCGCTGGCTCTGCATGGCTCTCTCCAATGAATTCCTCTTCAGCAATTTTCTTTCCTAGTTCATGCCTGTCAGTAAAGTCCATTTATTTTGAGTGAAATAAGCATCAATTGGCTTGTCAATCAAAACGCCCCCCCCCCCGCTGTGCTTAGGGACAGATTCTTCGCTGCACAGGCATGGAAAATGGCTGCCCCTATGGAGGATCTTCGTTGGACAGTGAGTTTTCAGCCTATTGGAACGCATTAACCGGGTTTTAATGTGTTTCAATTGGCTTCTTTATTTCGTTTGACAATGTTTTCGCTCTACAGCGATTTCGCTGGAACGAATTAACATTGTCAAGCGAGGCATCAATGTATATTGTGTTTATGGTTGTGGTTTTAAAAAAGGCTGAGAATGGCTGATCTACACGATTCTGCCACTGGCTCTGCATGGCTTTCTCCAATGAATTCCTCTTAAGCAATTTTCTTTCCTAGTTCATTCCTGTCAGTAATGTTCATTTATTTTGAGTGAAATAACTTAAGGTCAAAAGCATCAATTGGCTTGTCAATCACTATTTAAACAGCAGGAGTCAAAAGAATGGTATTACAACAAAAGAATCTGTAGAATAAAAGACATGAAACTCACCATTTCTCCAGACTCTTGTCCAGAATTTAAATGAATACCTTCACTGAACATCAATGAGGTATCAGGTTTACCATTGCAAAGGATATTCTCTGCTATTTGCACATTGGGCTGCAAAAAGGTCAGCTCGTTTCTCTGGGATTCGGAGGACAGACAGATCTGGTAAGAATACGGTAAGGTCCCCTCCTCATAGTTTGGTGGGAATATGGCTCCCCTCTTTGAACAAGGATCAGGGACAAAACACTGAAGGAACGTCGGGCTTCTTGACCTTTGGAATTTCAGCACAACGGTCAACATCACTGCCACCAGGAACAGAAAGGACACCAAAGCCAAAGCCAATACACAGCTCCCGGTGCAATATCTTCAGGAACTGGGCTGGACATGGAAGTAAGGATCACATCTGGAGCATTGTCATTTTCATCAAGCACCTCAATCTCCACATTGCAATACGCCACCAACCCACCTCCATCACTTGCTTGTATCACCATCACATAATTTTGTGTATCCTCAAAATCCATAGCCTCTTTAAGTGTTATTTTTCCATCTCTTGAATCTAGATAAAATTTCTGCTCAGCAATTTCTGGGATGTTACTGAAAGTATAAATGATTTCAGCATTTGATCCTTTGTCACTATCAGAAGCTTTAACTTGAAGCACAGAGCTTCCTACAGGTGCATTTTCTTTTAGGCTTATCTTGTAGGTTTCCTGGGAGAAAACAGGTGTATTGTCATTTACATCAGTAACAATAACTTGTATGTTGGCAGTTCCAGTTTTTCTTGGTTCACCTCCATCTGTAGCTGTCAGGATCAAGTAGTGCATTTCTTCTTTTTCCCTGTCTAGTTGTTTCTGCAATATTAATTCTGCATATTTCCCACCATCTTTGGCCTCTTTTATTTCTAGATTAAAGTATGGATTTGGACTCAACTGATAGTTCTGGAGGGAGTTGATTCCAATGTCCTTGTCTTCAGCATTTCCAATAGGAAACCGAGCTCCTGGCAGATTAGACTCACTCACTTTAAGGTCAATACTTTCTTTCCGGAAATGTGGGGCATTATCATTCACATCCTCGATAAAAATCTTTATGTGGAAAATATTCAAGGGATTATGTGCCACAACCTCTAGGTTTAGGACACAAGTGGGTGATTTTCCACAAATCTCTTCCCGGTCTATCCTGTCCTTCACATACAGGTTGCCACTGTGTTCATTGAGAGAAAAGTACTGCTTTTCTGAAGAGATTGCAAGCCTGCGCTTTGCCAAGTCTCTCACCTCCAACCCCAGGTCTTTAGCAAGGTTCCCCACAAAGGAGTCCTTCTCTGATTCCTCTGGAATGGAATAGTGAACCTGCTCAGACACCACATAGCAGAACACAGACCAGACTATGAATAGAAATAGTACTTGCCTCTGTGTAGGCTCCTTGATTCCATCTATGTACCTTCTTTTCATTGTTGTCTTTGCCTTTTCTTTTATCTTTCTCCCCTCCAATTTAAGTCAGCTAGCTCTTTGCAGTAAGGCAGGAGAAATAGAGTCCTGTTAACTAACCCTTAAGAAACTGATAGCTTTCTTTGATGAGTAGTTTTGAAAACCAAACCTTCTGCTATCTGTTCTCTCCTGTCTGTTGAAATTTAATGGAAGGATATCGTTTCAGGAAACGTACACAGCTATTCACAGCTTTTCCCTTCTTGTCCAACAGTGACACTCTGAGTTCACTTGAGGAACTGTACATGGTGATATTCTTTCCTATTATTCTGTATTAAATCAATTCCTCTCTGCAAGCTATGCTTGAAAATGTGATGCTCTTATTCATTTCCACATACATTTCCCTTCTGATTGCCAAGGAGATCCTGTACACTTAATTTAATTCACATTATGACATCAGGTCTTCTGATTTTAGAAACTAATGTGGCCTGAGTTTCAAATTACTTTCTACTTCCCACAAACCATTATATGGGATACGTTTCAAATTCACCAGAATATTTATATTATAAATTAATTGAAAGTTGTAATATTTTAACACTTTGTTGTTCTATGATAAATGTTTTTAACCCATGAATTTTATGAAAACCTAAGGGGGTAGCCCGTTGTCTTACATGAGGTCAAACACATAACATTATCTGACTACTACTGGGAGATACCTCATGGAACTCCCCCGTCTTTATCCCCACCCTCCTGACTGTTGTTCGGACCTTCCACTTTCTGAGAAATAAGTGCTTTACTTGAGAAGCAAAGGAACTGGCAGGAAGGATAGAGTAGCTGCAAGAACAACTCTCGTTTCTAGCCCCGTGAAATACGGATCTGGATTCAGCTTGAGATGCAGAGATATTCTGTTGCTGGGGTGGGGGTTATATCTTGATCTCCTGCTACTCTTTGTTAAACTACTCACAATATATCAAACTGGGACAGACATTATTTACTGAGGGAAAGCTCAGCTCTACTAATTTTGCCATAGGTTTTTGTAAGCTCCAAATCAGTTTCCCTTTCATTCAAGAATATTCACACTCTGTCTGTTTACCTCAATATAACTAATTAAGTGAACGGCTTACAAAATTCTGGCCATTCCCCAGCGCTGGCATTCCAAAAGAGTCTCGTTTACAGAGTGGCAAAATACCAGTCTTCTGCTTTTTATTTTAAAAATCCACATGAACTGCTGAATTCTGAACTGAATTCTGTCATAAATGAACTACATGTGTAAAAACATTTGATGCTTAGAACACCATGGAATTCATATGCATCCTTCAGTCTCGAGAGACTATGTTAACATGCTCTGTATGGAAGACTTGGAACAGCATCTGGTGTTTTGACGTTGTACGTGAAGCTGGAGTGTCCTCTCCAGGGCACGAAGCCTGGGTAAAATAATATGGAGGATAGGCTGTTACCCAAGCAGCAAATCACCCCTCTTCATGTCACTGAAATGGTCCAGTGGAAAGGCCAGAGCCAATACAACTGGTTTCAGTGATGTCGCAGGAGTTGACAGAATGACACGAACTGCCTCCGGGACTCCGGCTCCAGAGTATGTGTGCAGTAAAGAAAGCAGTATAGGCAAGTCTGTAATTTCAAGCAACTGGCGGCAGTGCAGGTTAAACCTCAGACGCCTCTGTGCTGCAAGGTCAGGAGACCAAGCAGTCATAAAATTGAATCCACAAGGACCTGCTCTAGATGCAACTTATTGTGTTAAATTAATTCAGTGTGCTTTAGCAGATAAGAGCAATGGACTAGGACTCAGAACCACTGGGTTCAAATCCCTGCTCAGCCATGCTAAACTCACTGAGGGTGTGGCACTGTTTCACTTACCTTGAAAGCCCTATTAAAATCCCTGTGAGTTCTGACTTGAGGGCACATAACATAGCAAAAGTTGCAGTTAGAGTAGCCCATTTAAATAAATAAAACTCATGGAGGAGATAACTCAATAAATCTTCATTGATTCACTAGGCTTACTCTAGTGTAACAATTGCCTGAGGACTGGAGTAGAGAATCATAAACCTGGCTTGAGACTTGTTGCTGGCACAGAGGAAGGATAAAGTGGTGGTCTCCTACTTCCACGTGCAAAAACTAACCCAACCAGCAGTTGCATCTAGTTGAACCACAGACAGAGGACAACATCCACCATCAGACCTGAAAGCAACTGGCTAACTTAAAAGATCAGACTTTTAGCAAGCTGCCCACATGTACATGCACAGACTGTTGCAGAGTTTTGAATTTCTACACAGCAGAAATACAGAAATCCACAAGTTTCTTTACTTATAGGTAAAGGTAAAGGTTGCCCTTGACATTTAGTCCAGTTGTGTCCGACTCTAGGGCACGGTGCTTATCTCCGTTTCCAGGCCACAGAGCGAGTGTTTTGCCCAAAGACAGTTTCCGTGGTCACATGGCCAGTATGACTAGACACGGAACGCCATTACCTTCCCACTGAAGTGGTACCTATTTTATCTACTTGCATTTACATGCTTTCGAACTGCTAGGTCAGCAGGAGCTGGGACAAGCAACGGGAGCTCACTCCGTCTTGTGGATTCGACCATGGAATTACTATTAACAATTAAAATGTCTCCGACTATCTTTGTGTGAACTATTGCATTGCAGGCCCACTGCAGTACTCCTATTTCCTTTTCATTTTGTGGAACATCCAACTCTACAAACATTACTAACTCAACTTGTGAAAAAAGTTTTGCTATTATTTTTCTGTAACTTTTCATTTTCCTGAATATGTCAGGATGTTCTCCAGTACATTTGCTCCAATTCCCCCCTCTTTCTCTCTCTTCCTTTTGTAAAGGAAGGAATTAAGGAAGTCCACAGCACTCTAGTCCAAGACTGGGTAGTTTCCCTTGGGTGAAGGGTTAAGGTCAGAGTAAAATGGGTGTGATAAAAAATGTAATTCCAAGTTATTTTCATTAGCTGTACACTTCATCATTCTCCTCCTTTCATTACCTTAATTTCTACATTTTAGTTTCATTTTATTTTATTAGTATTAAATTTTACCATATTTACATTTCAATTGCCATTTCATTTGACTTTCTTTTTCTTTTTCCATTGTTTTACTTTTCACTGTAGTTTCCCTGTCCCTTTTATTTTTTATTACTTTTACATGTTTTTATTTCCCTTGCTTTTATTTCCCTTATTTTTATCTGTTCCTCAATAGGCTTTAGTTATTTTAAAAAAATTAATTCCAAGTTACTAAACTGATTTCACAAGGGAGTTAAAATAAATGACCATCTAACCATCCAATAAAATATCTAACTTTCTGACCAAAAATTATGCTTCCATGGAAAAAAAATCTGAGCTTCCATGTGTGTTGTGTAGTTTTCTTTTTAAAAATGGATTTAAAACATGCTAAACCCCAAATGTAGTTTTTTTCCCTAGTGGAACCACACTCTTAAGAATGGAAAAAAAGTAACTTACACCGATCAAGGGTACACATTCTTTTCTTAAACTATAAGCTCAAACAAATCATGATAATTTCCAGTATATGGTTTGTTTTGAAAGAAAAAAGGAGGGCAAATTTTCTTTCACTTTTGGGTTTTTGTTTAGTTTTTTTTTATTTCCCCTCACATTTATTCAGAGAACATTCTTAAAATGCAGGAAGCTAGACCCTGGTTTTTAGAGAGGTTGACTTGCCTTCACCACTGTCAATGGATGCGAACAGGATGAAATGTACCATTCCTGATTAGCTGTAGCAGGATGAAATGTTTCCTATACTGAGAAATATGCACATAAAAACTGTATATTAAGGAAAAGGCCAACCTCTGGCAAGAAAGGTTTCTGTTTAGATAGACATTGCATTTTATAAATATGGAAAAACACATGTGGTCCTCCACCAGCATCCAGATATATTTCATCCTAGAAAAAGGTTTCCACACAATCTAGCTTGATATACTTTCCACAGATGAATATTCTGTCACAAGTCAGAAGATGAGAAATCTGAATGAATAATGGCATAATTGAGGGAAAAAATGTGTACTGATCATAAGAATTATGTTCTAGATAAAAAATTATATGCTATCTACTTACTCACCTGGACAATGGGTAGATTCTCATTGTTCAAATCCAAATCCTCACCAAATAGGATAGGATCCCTTCCTTCAACATTTTCATGATTTTTCACAGTACCTGTAGAATTTGCCTTTGAAATATGAAACTGGCTTTTCCTAGAGTCTGTGGTCAGAGAAACCTCGTGGCAATAAGAGTGGAGAAAAGCTCGGACTCCATCAATCCCCACAAACTGTGACACAGGAACACCACTGAAATTCACACTGCCTGACTCAAGAAGCTGAGCATTTCTCCATCTGTACAACTTTAGGGCCAGCAAAACAAGGAGGAAGATGAAGAACAGGCAGGAGACAAAGGCCACGGCAACGACCAGGTAGAAGGTGAGATCTGATGGGTGATCTAAAGGAGCTGAAATGTTGGTCAGGTCTGTGAGTATTTCAGGAATGTTGTCAGCCAGCACCACAGTCACTGTCACTGAGGCAGAAAGAGATGGTTGCCCATTGTCCTTGACCAAAATCACCAGGTTTTGCTTGAGGGTGTCCTTCTCTAGAAAGAACCGAGCTGTCCTGACTTCTCCAGTGTGGAGTCCCACAGTGAACAGCCCGGGTTCTGTGGCCTTGATCAACTGGTAAGAGAGCCAAGCATTCTGGCCAGAATCTGCATCCACAGCCACTACCTTAGTGACCAGGTAACCAGGCTCTGAGGAGTGAGGGGCCAGCTCTATCCCAGTGGAGCCATCGGTGGGAGGGGAAGGGTACAGGATTTCTGGCGCATTGTCATTCTGATCCAGGATGAAGAGGGTCACAGAGACATTGGAGCTGAGGGGTGGGGAGCCTCCATCCTGGGCCTTCACCTGGAAGTTAATCTCCCTGATTTCTTCATAATCAAAAGAGCTCAAGGCATAGATGACTCCAGTCTCAGAGTTAATGGAGAGGTAGGAGGATAGAGAGGAGTCACCCATCTGATTGTCAATGATGGAGTAGCTGATTCTGGCATTCTCCTCCCAGTCTGCATCACTTGCTTGGAGTGAAAAGACTGAGGCTCCTCTTGGATTGTTTTCTACAAGATAAGAGGTGTAAACTCCCTTA